ACAGAGCCAATTGGTGCCAGTATTGCCACGCAGTTGTCGATGTTATCAGATAAGTCTAATTCCAATGACTTTTTTATACTTACCTACCCCTTCTAGCTTTCTGACTAGCGTAGTTTTGGCGAGTGTACGACTCAAGGTGATAAGGCTCTACAAAACATTTTGAGCTGTACTATAAGTAGTTAAACAGAGACAGCAAATTATCTTAGGAGAGAGGTCCGTTCTTTTAAAAATTGCACTCTTGCTGAATAAAGAGCCACTGATGCCCTTTTTCTGGAGATTTTCAATTATAGGCTACCACGATAAGGAGTAACCAAAAGTATACTCCTAAATTGAAACATTTTCTCTAACATTTTTACGCCTCCATGTAGAAAACCATATATGCAGTGATTACCGTATGCAAGTGGTTTAGGCCGACCCTCCGGCGATGTTCTTATATTAAGCTGCTAGCAGGTGATCGCTAGGAATCTGTTTATACTATTAAGCCGATCAAATACACTCTCCAGAGTTTTGAGAAAAAACACTGAGAGCTTGATTGGTCTAAAATCGTTATGAGAGGAGTCAAGAATTTTTTGCAGCCAGCCCGCCTTTTCCCCAAGCAATGGATATATACCATGTGGGTATAACTCAATGAGACAAAGAAATAATTAGTATTTTTAGGATAAATATGAGGATATATTTTTGTAGTTAGTGAGGCATTTGCCCTAAAAATATATTTCTTTTAAGTAGAGAGGAAACTTTTACAGTATTGGGTACCTACTGCAAAAATGCAGTCCATGCTCCATGGAGCCCTTGAAGTCCAAGACAATGTCACCATTTTCAAGCTTGCATATCTGGCTCATCTCACATATCTTACTGGAAAACATACTCCAGCCTGGGCCCGTGAACACAGGCGCGATAGTGATCTCCAGTAAAGAGTGTTCGCAATAGTCCTTCACCCAATCAGACAATACGTCTTTTTTGTCTGATGAAAGCATCGAATGTTATACTACATAAAATCCAAAAAAGTCAGCAAATTTATTTCTTCCTGAGATTTTGGAAATCAAGTTTATTTTATTGTCCAATTTTTGCAAAAACCCAAAAGGTACAGTGTAAAACAGATTCCCTAAGAAATTGTAAATTTCATCTAAAAAAAAAAAATCAAAAATTCATCAAATTATGTATACACAAATATTTTATACCAAACGAAACTTTAAACTAAACCAGAAGACATCGTAGCATCCTCAGTGTACAGTGTATTTTACACCATAAAAAGGTGCGCACTCTGTGGGGAAATATTTTCTACTACCTTTAAACAAGAATCTGTCCAAAAGCAATAAAAAAAAATATATATATACACACGTGTACTACGTATGTAGAGAAAAAAAAATGCATACAATTCTGTTGAAGAGAACTGCAAATTTGGATTGANATATATATATACACACGTGTACTACGTATGTAGAGAAAAAAAAAATGCATACAATTCTGTTGAAGAGAACTGCAAATTTGGATTGAAAATGAAGCCAACGCAACAAAGGACATGCAAAACGCATTGCGAAGGACATTAAGTGAGCCCCCAAAATGAGCGTGAGTTAGTGTAATTACGCAGAGAAATGATGGCGTGTAAGTNACCCCAAATGAGCGTGAGTTAGTGTAATTACGCAGAGAAATGATGGCGTGTAAGTAAGTCGTTCGTTCATAAATGTTTGACACAAACTCTCTATGCTGCATAATTAACATGTTGCATATATACTACATACATACATACATATGTATATACTTGCGTGTATACGAACATGTTGATAAGAAAGAGGAACAAGAAAAAAAGCAGCATACATTAATGCAATAAAAATGTGTAAAGTATGCCTAGTTATGCTTTTTCTTATGGTTTTATTGCAAATGTATAAACAAAGTAACACTTGCAGCTGCAATTTTATACTATTTACATATATATATCGTAAATATATATTACGAACATTATTTACTATTTAAACATACATACATACATATGCACGCTATAGTAAATTGAAATATTTATATTAACAAATTGTTGTATTATACCTATATACACTGTAAGAAATAAAATGTAAATAAATTGCATTTGTAAAGACGCATTGNATTTATACTATTTACATATATATATTAATATATACTAAATATAAATTACGAACATTAGAAACGCGTATCTATTTAAACATACATACATACATATGCACGCTATAGTAAATTGAAATATTTATATTAACAAATTGTTGTATTATACCTATATACACACTGTAAGAAATAAAATGTAAATAAATTGCATTTGTAAAGACGCATTGTAGCAAAAAGAAATAATACCTAATTTACATATACATATAGCTTGCTGAAAAATTCACAAACTTTTGCAAAAAAGCTGCCAAAAACTGTTGAAAGTGATTTATTAGTTGCGATTTAGCGCCCATTAGTGTAATAGCATATTATTATTATTATTATTATTTTTTTTTTCGCTATAACAAGAATATTAACTACTTAGAAATACATCAAGACATAGACATACATATTGTTGTAGGCCATAAAAACCAACTTTTTAAAGTAAATAAATCAAATGCTAAATAATCCAATTGAACTCGCTGCCACACCATTTCACCTTTATGTTTGTATGTGAAGAAATTTGTATATAATCGTACAATGTATTTGTTATGTATATGAAAAGATGCAATATTAGAGCTATTTTTTTTTTTTTTTNATTATTATTTTTTTTTTCGCTATAACAAGAATATTAACTACTTAGAAATACATCAAGACATGGACATACATAATGTTGTAGGCCATAAAAACAAACTTTTTAAAGTAAATAAATCAAATGCTAATTAATCCAATTGAACTCGCTGCCACACCATTTCACCTTTATGTTTGTATGTGAAGAAATTTGTATATAATCGTACTATGTATTTATTATGTATATGAAATGATGCAATATTAGAGCTATTTTTTTTTTTGTATATTTAGCTGAGACAAAAGGTTATTCAAGTAGAAACATTAAGAAAGCAACAAAATTCAAGATTTTTTGGAAGAAAAAAAATTGCCTAATATTTATATAGCATTTTTATTGCGAAACAGAGCTCCTAAAATTAATAAGTTTTGTAATAAAAAGCAAAAAAAGTTTCGGTACATTTTAAAAATCTATGGTTTCAAACAAGCACACCGTTTAATTTTGCATTTTAGTTTTTTTGGTCAAAAATGTAGACACAATTTGCTCGCGTTTGTCAGCACAAAACAATCAATAATATTTGTTTTATATTTCTCAAGTACTATTTAGTAAAAAATAAACCTAAGAAACAACTGTGCGGTTTTTACTTAAAATTTTCATAAAGTCTCGAGTGAAAGTCGAAAAATTATAAAGAGTACCAAAAAGTGTCGACAGCATCACGAAAAAAATCGAATTCAGAGAAATTATATGTCACCCCTCAACTTCAAACTGGCGACTCCAACCATATGCCTGATAATACAAATGACATCGTGGCTGACAGAGACCAATTATTATATATTTTATTTTAAGTTTGCGATACAGACATGCAATGCGTAAAAGAAAATTCCTCGGTAATGATTTCTTAAAAGATATTACTTGAATATCCTTCTAGTAAAAATTATGCTTGTACGTGAAAAAGCTTACTATTGCTGCTTAAAAAAAAAATGTATGATTTTAGTTTTCATAGAAACGTTTATCAAATACTAAAAATTATATCAAAATNAAATATTAAGAAAGCAACGAAATTCAAGATTTTTTGGAAGACAAGTTTTTTTGTTTGTATAAAAAATTGCCTAATATTTATATAGAATTTTTATTGCGAAACAGAGTGCCTAAAATTAATAAGTTTTGTAATAAAAAGCAAAAAAAGCTGCAGTAGATTTTAAAAATCTATGGTTTCAAGCAAGCACACCGCATAATTTTGCATTTTAGTTTTTTTCGGTAAAAAATGTAGACACAATTTGCTCGCGTTTTTCAGCACAAAATAATCACTAACATTTGTTCTATATCTCTAAAGTACTAGTAAAAAAGAAACCTAAGAAACAAGTGTACGGTTTTTACTTAACATTTCCGTAAAGTCTCGAGTGAAAGTCGAAAAATTATAAATAGTACCAAAAAGTGTCGACAGCATCCTGAAAGGCCCTAAAGAAAATCTCCAAATACAAAAAAAAATTGAAAAAATATTCCCAGAAACTTCCAGAGTAATTCAGATAAAATTATTAAAAATGCCGAAAAAAATCAAACCAATTCACTTATTTTTTATTATTTAAGGCAGACAGCAGGCTTGCTTGACATAGAGGAACCTCTTTGAAACATGCTTTTAAAAAGAACTGTTGCGGAAGAGAATGACGTACACAACTTCTTGATACATGATATTTTTCAGAGAGAGAGCGAACACCGTCGGAGATCTTTGGTCTCAGATATTGAAAGGAGTATCAGTGGTTGCATTCTACTGTTAGAGGGGCAAGTAGTGAGAAATAGGGCCTCTGCGTTGAGATAATTTTTTCGCTCTTTACCAGTCAACAAGCTGCTCAGAAAGCTGGAGTGTGTACAGCACGCTAATTGAAACCAGTGAGACATTTAGGACACCTCCAACTCTGGGAATTTTTCCAAACTTAATATGTCGCCCGTCAATTTCAAACTGGAGACTCCAACCATAAGCCTGCTAATACAAATGACATCGTGGCTGACTGAGACCAATTATTATATATTTTATTTTAAGTTTGCGATACATAGATACGTGTAACGCGCAAGAGAAAATTCCTCGGTAATAATTTCTTAAAAGATATTACTTGAATATCCTTCTAGTAAAAATTATGCTTGTACGTGTAAAAGCTTACTATTGCTGCTTAAATAAAAAAAAATGTATGGTTTTAGTTTTCATAGAAACGTTTATCAAATACTAAAAATTATATCAAAATAGTTTTTTTGTGCATTTTTTATTAACCTTTCCATGCTGGCTGTATTCTTGCAGATTGACTATTACCGCTTCGTGTCCAATGAATCTTCAATATTTTCCTATGGATCGGCAGTTGTGCCACATAGAAATCGAAAGCTGTAAGTAATATTTCTTTTGCTATTCAAAATACATACAAACATAAATATGTGTATAACTGCATACTTTAAACGTAAATAAGATTTTCGTAATTTAAGACCTAAATAGAAATTAGTGCTTAGTTTAGTTTATAGTCATAAAAATTTATTTGTATATTTAGTGTGTACATAGGCTTAGATTTTGCGATAGGATAGGATAAGTATCGTCATGAAATGAAAGTGATTTGAAATAGTTTTAAGAAAAATTGATTACACTGAATAAAAAATATAATGAATTTATATGAGGCGTCAAAATAATTGCTAAGTAGTCGGCACTTTTGTAAAAAATATGTCAATTTATTTGGTTATGTTTGCTACTAATGCTAAAAAGATTGCAACACCCGTATTAAGTGCTTAAGTGCTAGGAACTGCAGGTATAATATTTAAACAGCAACAAAAAAAAAATACATCTAAATGAGCTTTACTTTCTAAGTTACAAATTAAAAAAAAAGAAGAAAATTTCTATGAAAGCTTTCTACAGATAGCTAGAATTTTGGTTGTAGCGTGAAAGCTTAATATTTAGCGCTTTATTTTGAACATATTGCTAGGGTAATATATATATGTTTGAAAAGCTTAAACTACAATTTCATATTGTATTAAAAAAATTTAAGAAAATAAGGAGAAAGTTAGTTATGATCGAAGAGAGCTTTTTTTCTATAACTGTCTATACGAAAACTATAGACAGTATGAAAAAGCTTCTGCTTTGGTCATGGCTGAATTTATTTTCAACGAGATTTAGCTGAAAAGTTGTTCACTGAAAGCAAACTGCTTTGTTCGAATTGGGCTATTGGAAAAGGGACGTCGAAATTTAAATTTTTTATAATGATTATTCTGAAAAAAAATAGCAAGACTATAAACAATAAGCCCTTATACTTAGTATTCGATTTCAGTTTGAGGTACTTTTTATATTCGTCTCAGAAAGCTTCGCTTTTTTGGTAAAAGCTCTTTAAAAGCTTTAGTATATTATTTCGGTTTGCTTTAAAAAATATAACTCCATAGCTCTTGACCGTTAAAACGGGAAAATTTTAGACTCAAGTTTGAAAGTTTTTCTCTAAAACTAGCAATAAAGAGAAAATTAGCTTATAGCCTAGGAAGCTCTAATTATTCGAATGAATAATAAGCTCTAAAAAAGTTTCAGCAACTTCAAAAGTAAAGCATTTTTATTAGGGAAAAGCTTCGCTACGATTCGCTTTCTTTGATTGAAAAGCTTCAAGCTTAAAAGCAATAAATCGAATAGGATATAATTAACTAAAAATGTACCTCAATTCTTATTAGTTTGCTTGGGGTGAAAAAGTAGTGAGCTTAACCCGCTTAGACAAATTTTTTTTTCATAAATCATATGCTCCGCTGTTTTTTAACTAAATTTATATAGAAGTTTCCTGGATGAAAGCAGTATCTAGCCAACACTGCTATAGGAAGATAACTTGACTAAAAGCTTGCACTCAACTTGAGCTTAGTTTTACTTAATTACTAACAGCCAATTTTAGCCAAGCCAGTTTAGTGAAAAATGATTTAAATTTTTTGAATTTTACGTGGAAATCGACAGAAAACAAAAAATCATTTTCAAATTAAATTGCTGGTGAAATCGGCTGTAAGAGTTACAAAAAAGTGGCAGTGAAATCAAAAGTCTACGTTATTTTCTAAAATAAACTTTTTTTTAGGTTGAAAAATTCAACCATCGGATTCTCGCAATTCGATTTTGCGAATAATTAACTAAAAAGGCAATTGCCACATTTCGACTACAAAAATAGCACATATTGCGTAACCTTTTGTTCAGGTTTTAATTTTTACTTATTTTCCAATAATTTTTTACTTGCTTTTCTGATGAATTAAAACAAGGAATTATTTATTTATCCTAAGTTTGAAAATAATTTTATATTTGATTAAATTTAACTTTATTTTCAATTAAATTACCCAGTCTTAAATCATCAACGTTTAATTGAATTAGTACAAAATATTCCTCACTTGAAACAGTTTTACAACAAATACATTCAAATCAAAATGCTCCTTACGAAACTTCACCATCTTCACTTCAGTAATTACCCAAAAGCCAATCGCAAAAAGCTCATTACAAAGCTCTATTACCGAATATTGAATTACATTAATTTAGTTGAAGTGCATTTTAGTACCTTGGAAATATTCATTATTACATAAAAATTCACAAAATGACCACCGAATTTCAAAATTGCAGAGTTAAATATTTAGTAAATGAAATGAATTTAAGAAAGAAACGAATTGAAATACTGGTTGGTTTTCGGTCGCCTTCTTTCTTTTGTTAGAAGCAGTAAATTGTAAGTGAGTGAGTACTTATTTAATAGTGAAACTGAACTGAAGGTCAGACAGGAATTCAGGAAATTAATTTTCGATATGCACGACACAAATAAATTCTAATTTATTTAAATGCAAATTTCACAAAAGTTATTCTATATAGTAGACCTATGTATGTAGCTTTTATATCAGCGGTGTTTCTAGTATCCACAAGGGCAACAATATATTTTATGTAGGTATAGCACTTCCAACCCAATCATTTCATCTTCATTAAAACTAGCTTACTATTAATATTTGTTGGCCGTTCATTTGGTAGTTGTGCACACAAAAAGTCGGTTAACACAGTGGGAAGCCTCAAGAATTTCGGTTTGTTTTACGACCAAATCCGAACTGAATTGCATTGACAATAATTCCAAGGCGGAAGAATGCCTACGTAAGAAATCTAAACTGCTTAAATATTTCTTAACAGTAGATGGAAGAAAAATGCGTATAGGAAAACCCATGTGATTCGGCCTATCTGTATCTACCCTGCAGGTAAAAGTACCGATACTTAAAATATCATATACCGGTCAGAAAGAGAACTTACCGTTCATAGTTGCGGTTCGTTTGCATAAAAGCGACAGGCAATTTTAACATGAGGCTTTCATTGGTGATGAACGATTGCCACCTTATAGGTCAACTCTTCGCAGAAAAAGCTGCAGTGATCTGGCAACCTAAAATAATGACTTAATGGGAGGTTTGTCAAAAGTATCTTCTTTTATACTTTTTGCTTTTATTTCGAGGCAGCTGTAGAGTTTTCTTGTAGGCCCAATTCAGAATCGACAAGAAAGAAGTTAATATGGAAGCTTTCTAGGGTTTTAGTAGGCGGCATGCATACCGCCCTTTAAACTTTATTAGGCTGTAGAATTAGTGAGCGACTTAGGTAGTTTGGTCTTTCGACTAGCCGCCCACAATACTAAGGGCGTTCAGCAACAGTTTGCCCAGCACTTGTGGAGGACTACTGGTGATAGTTGTGGCCAGATAATCGGCATAATAAATAGCGCTGTAAGTACCGTTAGATTCCAAAGCAATGTGGAGTGTAAATATTTGTGGAGACCCCGTTGCCTCATGTTGCATATGCATATATCTCCAAATGTCTCGTAGACTGATTTTGTAGAGGGCGGACGAAGTGCAGCGGAAGTTCTCAAAAGTCTAAAATAACTTAATTAAAACTCGCACGCAGGAAGCTTAGTTTTATATTGACCAGCGAGATCCACCACTTCGTCATGGGCTTTCAAGTTTAGCTTTTAAGCTCAAACTTTTTTTTAGTATAAAATTAAAACGGCTTCAAAATTCGAACTTGTACTACAAAACTGTGATATACATACGTCCGCAATTTGAGTATAGCTTTCGGAAAACTTTCTGTAATATTTCTACGTGAGGGTGGTCCTTAAAAATCAAATGAACGTTTTTTTTCAATCTCACCCCCTCAATCGGTAATACCATGGTCATAGATATCACATAAAAATTTAAAATTAATGTTTTTCTCATCTAATACCCAAAATCGACACAACCATAGTCGATGATATCACATATAAACTTTGGTCCCGATTGGAGTCGTTTAAGGCATTTCGCAACGGGGTGAGATGCCCGATGCCTCTTTGGACTCAAAAAAATTAAAAATATTTTTTTTCATTAAATGCCCAAAATCGCTACTGCTAAAGTCGAAGATATCACATATGAATTTTGGTCCCGATTGGAGTCGGATAAGACGTCTTCATAGGGTAAGGTGAATTTTGACCCCTGTGCGAAACGTCTTAGCCGACTTCAATCGGGACCAAAATCCATATGTGATATCTTCGACAATAGCATCAACGTAGGGGCCGAGGCTTGGGAAATCTGATATAAAAATTTGCTTTCTACATTTAGGGACCACCCTAGTCTACATATATAGGTGTGTAAACAGGTTATTCTAGAAGTAAGCTTTTAACGGGTTGTATTTTTTCTTCGAAACTGAAATAAAAATACCACAGGGTGATACAGATGAAACCTTAACGGTTTCGAAGCATGTGAGTGCCCCTCATGACTTATTAAGAATTTTTGTTTCAATTTCAATTACTTTAATATTTAATTAATTTTTTATTTTCAGGGTTGAATTCGAAATTCTAAAAATGTATATTTCGAACTTCACTACTTGATGCATACAAATTTTCGTTTAAGACTTTTTAATTTTGTCATTATTATGACTTATTTTTCTCACTTCCGATTCGAACATTATTCCAGTACATCGAAAACAGTTATCACTATCAAGCGATCAATCATTTTAATCGTAATCAGTAATCAGTAATCAGTAATCAATAATCAGTATATAAGCCATATAAAAATCTAGTTAAGTTCTTTTTTTTCAAAACAAATCAATAATTACAAAAAAAAAAAGAAAACAATCAAACACATTTTCACAATTTAAACACAAATATTAAACTTAAAAATCGTTATTAACAAAAACACCTAAGAAAAATTAACAAAAAAAACAAAAAAAAAAAAATTGGGAAATGACGTCATTTTGTAAATATATATATGTATATTATTTTGTAATATGAAGTCGGTTACACGATGCGAGATATCCGTTACTTCTGGAGAGATGGACTGAGTAGTGTTGGCATGAGCAGTGAGGTCGAACTACCGCAGTTCCGCGTTTTGGGACACAGGCAGAGGGC